CCATCTGGTGTGGGTGAGTGATAGTCTACTTTGATTTTGGTTAAGGTGGATTATCACTTACAGTGTAATCAGTGAGGGGATTCTACAGACTGTTAGGGTTCAGCCTCCTGATGAGTCGGTGAAACTCCGACGAAACAGTTTGTGACAGCCCCTCGTTTGTTGTCCTCTTCTCCCTCTCTGCCTACGGTTTACCGGGCAGTTCTATTTGACGATATATATATATGGTCTATCGTAGGGAGGAGGGATGGCGGTGCTTCATGTGGGATTGGTTATTGGGTTATCGTTTTGCAGGCAAGTGTTCTGACATCCTGGTTGGTCTTGTCCCGTCGTTTGGCCTGTAGTTGTCGGGGGCGGTGCTTGCATGTGGGACTTGTCATCTAGGATTGTCATCCTGTTGAATGGGCATCCTGGTTGGTTGTTTCCCGTTGTTTGGCCCTTTGAGCGCGGGGCGGTGGTGTATGTGGGAATCGTCATCCGGGATTGTCTTCTCCTTCTTTTTGGTTGTCACACTGTGGATTGGAGCCTTTTTTTGTTTTGCTGATTTTGTCTGTATCTCGGTTGGTTTGGTCCCGTTGTTCGGGCTTTCTCATGGGCGTGGCTGTGCTTTCACGTGGGACCAGTCATTCGGGTTTTTGGCATCCTGGTTGGTTGTTTCCCGTTGTTCGGCCCTTTGAGAAGTGGGGCGGTGCTTGTATGTGGGAATTGTCATCCGGGATTGTCTCCTCTCTTTTTCTTGGTTGTCACACTGGATCCTCGCTTTTTTATGCCTTGTCCTGGGTGGTCTTGTCCCGTTGTTTGGCCTTTGATGGAGTGGGCGGTGCTTGCATGTGGGACTTGTCATCTGGGATCTGTTTTGTTGCCCCCTGTTCTATTTGTTTCATTTGGCTGTTCCCTTCCTCTCTTCTTTGCCTCTTTGCCTTTTGGCTGTGTGCAAGTGGGTCGATATGACACACGGGGGTGGGGGCAGCCGCCGCTCAACCTACATCCACGTGGGCGGCCTTGTACGCAAGAGGTTCTGAACAGGGGGAATTGTAAGGAAGAAGATTAAAAACGAATTTAAGATTTTTTTGTTTTTCTTGGTTTTTTCGCTTAGGCGCTCTGATATCATGTGACAATATATCCCTACACTATTAAAATAGTTAAGGTAACAAATCTGAAATCCGGGCCGTCGTCGGTCCTACCGGCCGACGGCCTAGATCGACCTAACCATGTAACAAATCTGCGATCTGGGCCGTCGGGTCCTACCAGACCGACGGCCTGGATAGATGCGGTCTTAAGATCTTAGTACCGCGCCGAGATCCAGGCCGTCCGTCGGGATCGACGGCTCAGATAGACGCGCCGCGGAGTGCCGTGGGGTACTACCGGTCAAGTGCCCGTTGGAGCGGGCCGTTTCTGTGCACGGGCTTCCCAACGGGCAAAGTGGTTCCCGTAGGCTGCCCTTTTGGGTGGCGGCACGGCAAAATCCTACGCACGGCGCGCACGTTTTTGGTGGCGGCACGGGCAAATCCCACGGCGTGGGAAAGATTGACCCCTACGCTACTCTACGCTTGACTTCGACTTTACTACTTCACTCTGCACTACCACGCTCGATTTCGACTTTACTACTCCACTCTACACTGCGACGCTCGACTGCGACTTCACATGTGTCTGGCACATACACACACGCACACACACACACACACACACACGCACGACATGGTGAGACTGTCGGGGTTCAACCTCCTGATGAGTCGGTGGAAGTCCGACGAAACAGTTTGGCTTAGTCGTGCTTTTTTTATGGAGTTGTGTATAGCGAACATAACGACACAGACACATACACAAACACACCCA